TTTACTACAGATACTCGCTTGGATATACTATTTCTATATACGTGAGATGTACTCAATCATTCCGCAGACTTCGCTCGAAATCGGGTAACACCCACTTGACCATCCATTCCGACTGCAAAACCTCATTGACCGTCGGTCGATCTTCCGGCCTGAATGTCAGCATTCGACGCATCAAATCTAGAATGGCAGCCGTTTCCTCTCTATCAAACTCGCCGAATTTACGCTGTCGCCGATACTTCTGCACCCCTTCCTCAAATGCATCGTTCATCGAAGGCCACACATACCGATCCTTCTTTGGACATCGATTCTCATCAAAGAACTCTCCACGTTTCTCCCAGCTCGTCCACCAGTCCGAGGGAATTGACCCCAGCACATCGATTTGCTGAGATACGACTTCATCTGGTGTGACAAATTCGCTACTGAAAATAGCCTTCATGCCAAGGATTTCCCAGATCGCGACGGCTAAACTCCAAACATCTGCTGAATATGAGAGAGGTGCTTGTGGCTCGAACCGGGCTTCTGGTGGTCTCGCTGCCAGTGGTGTGTGGCAGTCTTTCCCTGGGCGCAACTCTGAATCCGGAGCAAATGCCTCGCCAAAATCACTTAAAAGTACTCGCGCGTCTGAAAGTACGCATTCTCCTGCAGGCTTCCCAAGATAGAGTGGAATTACTGCCTTGGTCGGGGCATTTGGTGGAGGGGGATTCCCATCTCGTTGTGTGACCGATACTGTCTCGGGCTCACCATATTCTTCATACAACTGCTCAACTGAAAGGTGATCAAAATTAGATGGGAGTTTAGCTAAAACATTGCGGAGGTGGATATCTAAACATAAAGATTTTGGTGTTAGCTGGGTAACGTCGGGACACTGTTATCACTGACCTCCATGAGCATAACCCCGTGAATGCATATAAGCAACAGCGTGTGCAAGACCGCCTGATAGAGCCCGCGCAACTTCTAAAGGGAACAAGCGGCTAAAAGACATCTCTCGGAGGTTACATCTTGCGGGAGTGGTGATGTAGCATGGATGAGTTCCGTTAGGACCATCAACCTTAAATTCATCCAGGAGGAAGGGGATTGAACTGCATCCTGGGTGCGTGGATGATGGCGACAATGATGTGGAAAGTTCTCGGAGAATATTAGCTTCACGGAGAGTGACGGAGTTGGCTATGCCAACTTTAACAGCGACGTAGCGCTTCAGAGAAGTGTCGTGGGCAAGCCAAACTGTCGAATAGCCCCCAAAACCCAGCTTGTCCACGATGCGGTATCGTCTATGGAGAATATCTCCAATCATGATAGGATGATAGCCCCCGGGTTCGTACTTTTCAAGTACTTCCGCGCCATCAATCCAGTTATACTCCAAGTCAGAACATTTAGAACCTTCGCCGCTGGGTGACATTGCCGTTGAAGAATAGGAAGCGGTGGATATTGGTCGTCGGAGTAATCCCTCATGCTTCCCCGAGCTGTGGGGGAGCCGCCGGAGTGGCGATGAAGCCGAGGATCGGGAGAGCCAGGGTCGTAATGAAAAAGTGAGAGTAGGAGCGACTATTTTTGAGCAGCGCGTCATAACAAGCAATGGCCGATTGAGTAGATGGGAGTCAAACTAGGCATTTGAATCAAGAGGGGGAGACAGTATGACTGAAGTTCATTTTGAGAAGACATTAACACAACATCCCTCAAGCGCAATTCTCCGTCAAGGTCTGTCGCCTGTCTTTGATATATCACCACGTTGGGTACAATGTTAGTCATTTCTTAATAAGCTACTCTCGAGATCCCTTTCTGGGTCAGCCTCACAGAGGAAAACCAACCATCTTCACAGGGAACTGGAAATTCGACATCAACAACCTCGCCAATTAGCTACATATATAAAAGACCATGTGCGGCGCTCAAAGCGGGGGCCCAGGTCAAAATAGGAGGGGCAAGATGGGCCTCTCCGCCTTCCCATATTTCACTATCAAATCCAAAAGCTTGGACTTTGGCTAAGAATCAAACTCGCTGCGTTCTCCATCATTTTACTTAATTTGGATATTATGGCTGCTAGAGGAGGTGTAAACTTGGTCAAATACTACTTCTATGTGGGTCACACGATCAGCCCGGAACGACGAAAGGCGCTGGTGGCTCTGGCCTACTCCACAGCCCGGGACCAAAAGCTGGCTCCTAAGGCAATTCTCATTCGGTTAGTTCTACTCCCCTTTATAGAGGCAGGATGTAGCCAGCAGCACAATACCTTTGCTAAGCGCTATGAGCTAGGTCTGACATGCACGAGACTACGACCATCGATGGCAAGCGTGTTAAAGACCCAAAAGGTTGGCACGGCACCTTCGCCTTCAAGGCTGATAAACAGGTGGAACGAGAGTTCCACGTAGCCTCCCATGGTTATACAAGTGGAAAAGAGGATTTTGTTCTCAAGGAAGCAACGCACACCCCAGAGAAAAAAGACGGGACTCCTCGAGGTGGGAAGAGATCTGGGAAGGTTGTCTGGCCCTCCGAGGACCTGCTCGAAGAATATTCGGACAGTCCTATCGCATACTCACATCTGCCCGAGGCCGAATAAGGACGTGTCCCGAATGAAGTCTTTCCCTTACCCCCCTTTGTTTTCTTTTTTCTTTCTTTAGTGGTCGAACCCTGAGTTAGATAAGCGAAGCGTAAGGCCTGGGGAAGGTGACGGCTCGGATCCAGAAAATCCTTTCTCCTGTTGTTCCCATCCCAGGGAGGAAATGTCGGCTAATCTTGAAGTGATACCAATGTAACTGGTTGTAACTGGAGAGAATGGCATCCGTGGAAATCACAGTCCTATAGACCCGAATATAACCCATCTTATCCCTTTCATCCGTATATGTCTCAGTGTCCTTCGAGATCGCACGTGCAGGTGTGCAAGGAAAAGAGGCTGATGATGTTCGCGGCGAGAGCTGTGGCGTCTGGTCGAGAAAAGACAGTATCTCCTAACCCCTCTGTATCATAGATCTGTTATCAAGGGAAAAAGGGGAGTAGCTAGACTTGGGTTCTTGAGATTGGAGAAACCTAGCAAAGGTGAAAAACAACCCATGCATCTGACACAAAAAGGGAGGGAAATTCCCACGAGGTAGTAAAAGCAAAATACCCTACTAAGATAAAAAAAAAAAAGGAGTAACGACAGAGGTATCGGGTTCCCCGTTCGATCATCGTTCTTGTTTCTCATCTATAATAACAAAAAAACACACCATATAAAATTACAACTCATCCTTATCCTCTTCAGGATCAGGCGGTATCGGCCTCCCACTATCAACACCAAGATCCACCCCCTTTAACTTCCTCCACTTCTCCCACAGCGCAAAGAAATCCTTCTCCATCCCACTCTCCATCTGATCCGGTAACACGACCGTATACTCGACGTACAGGGATCCGAATTCCTCATCATCCCCGTGCCCGCGATCATGCATGTGGCCTTCGTGGTAGATGGGCATTCCTTCGCCTTTGATAGTTTCCACGGAGAGGGGCTGCGTAACTTCGCCTCGTTTCCGGCCGATTTGGACAACGTGTCCGTCTAGGTGTGTGATGTTTCGTGACCAGTTGCCCATCCACGCTTCCCGGAGACCGAGGGCTTCTTTCCAGAATAAATCCTTGCCTTTCCGCCTGAAGAACGTCCCATCTGTTCTCTCCTCGTCGCGTTTACCCAACGTAGGTTCCTCCTCGGATAAATGAACAATAAGATCTCCGGCAAGATAATCCGGGCTCTCATCCGCCTCATTCTCAAAAACCAATTTCGACCCCTTCCCCATACCCGGCTCCACATCCGCAGTCATAGTAACATGCTTCTTAACAACCCTATGGCCCCCACAGGTCTTACACGGGTGCTTTATCGTCTTCCCCTTCCCACCACACTTATCACACGGCATCTGAACCTGCTGATACATCCCGGGAGCGAGCATATGTTTCTGAATAACCATCCCCTGCCCATTACACCGTCCACAAGTCTCCACCTTCCCGTCCGCAGACCCCGTCCCCTCACACGTATCGCAAATCAACTGCTTCTCGATCTGAAACTCAGCTTCGCGGCCTGTGTAGAAATCGCGAAGGGGCAGGTTGAGGCGGAGTTCCATGTCGGGACCCCTGCGCTGGCCGTGGGAGTGTCCACCTCCTCCGCCGAAGAAGCGGGAGAAGAGGTCCATGGGGTCGTGGCCGCCGCCTTGGCGGTGGTTTTCGAGTCCTTCGTGGCCATATTGGTCGTAGATTTTGCGGGTTGAGGGGGTGGAGAGGGTGTCGTATGCTTCGGCGATGTCGACGAATTTCTTGTGCGCGTCATCATTTCCACTGTAGCGCGCAGGTGTTAGCAATTGATCCGGGTTTCTGTGCTGGGAGTCGGGGGGAGAGACTCACGGGTTCTTATCAGGATGATACTTCTTACTCAACGTCCGGTATGCCCTCTTAATATCCCGTTCAGAGGCAGACTTATCGAGTCCCAGAAGTTTGTAGTAGTCCTCCGCGCATAACGAGAATGGGAAGAGGAGGAAAAGGGAGAGCACTACGAGGAGTGAGAGGGGCAACATTGTGAATCGCGAAAAAGGTGAAAAAAAAGGGAAGATATGCGAATAGAAGGAGGGGGGTATCCCCCGAGCCCTTAGGTATCTGGGATATCGGCTTTTGCGTGGTTCAAGCAAAGATCCCTCCAGTCGACAATGTAGATCTCATAGACAAGCAAGCTCCCGATTCCCTGAGCTCCAGCGTTCACGAGAAAGAAGTACTATGTAACCAGAAAGGAAGAGGGGGATTAACAAGGTTACAAAGACCATGAGCTGAAGGCAAAACCCCTCTTCTATCTATAAGAAACAAGAAACGAAAGGAAGTGAAGGAAAGTGAAGCTCGACTCTCTCAATTATTTCCAACTGGGATTCAAAAAAGTGTCCAGCTTTCAATTGTATGGGACACCTTGCTCTTTTGCGGTGGATCAATGTTTGTCCGGCGCCCTTTCCCTTTCTATTCTGCTCCACTTATGTTCGTATTAACTAATTCCAAGTTGACAGAATGTAAGCTTGGCCGAGTGGTCTAAGGCGGCAGATTTAAGTTTTTTCTAAAACTCTGCTCACGAAAGTGGCGCGAGTTCGAACCTCGCAGCTTACAACATTCTTAAATTTTTTTTTTCTTCTCTTGAAGAGAACAGGAGATACAACGAAGAATGGAGAGGGAAAAGATGAAAACTTGCTTCCATTATGATAGAGGTTACGGACAACCAAGAAATCTTACAAAAAATAGGCTTATAACGCTGGGTTGAAGACCTCGTTCCTCCAACTGTCATCGATCCCACCAACCTGATCGCCAGATTCCCGTGCCTCCCGCATTCTCTCCTCCTCTTCATGCCATAGCTTGACAACACTCCCAGGCGCATATACGCCTTCGAAGACACCTTCCCTCGGTGCTTCGACTCCAACTCTCGTATAAACATCTGGGTTCTCCCTTGGTCGAAGTCGTGCAAGCACAGCTTTGACGAACGTCGTTAGATCCTGCGGATTCGCAACGCGCGTAGCCCGCAGCCTCTCTCGAGCAAATACGAGTTCTCGATTAGCTGTATGAACAGCAGCCACGATTGACTCTGCGATCTTCTTTTCCAAAACACGCCGGACCATATGCTTGAGGAACGGACGAACGAGCCACCACATGAGACTCCATCTACTCTTCTGGATGGTGTAGTCGAGCTTGTGTATGTGAACCCGAACTGCGCGGAGGGCTAACATCCGTCCAAGACTCTCTGTATTGATTTCTATCTCCATGGAGATATCGATACCTCGTTCGTCCAGGGCAAAATTGGCAATTCCTTCGTCGCGGAATCCAAAAAATGGCATGTTCCGCAGACGGACCCAGTAGCCAAGTTCTTCAGCACTAACGCTCAACCCAGACATGGATAAGGAAATTATATTCCTCGAGTCCGTCGCGATGCTCTTGGAATGGGTCTTCCTAAGTTCCATATCACGGTTGGCCGAGAGGCGTACTTTGTAGGGCAGGAACGATGATTGACGGACTGTGTGCCCCGGTTCGAGGACTACGTTTTCGAGGAGAAGATCCAATTCTGGCACGGAGATCTCAAGACGTGGGATTGGCACATGTTGGACGCCACGGATCAGTAGAGGAAGGAAAACATGAAGCAGGTCTTGGAAGAGATTTGAGCTGTCGGCGCCATAATCTTTGACCAGAAGGTCATAGATAACTCGAGAGAGAGCAGTTAGCTTTCTCAGTGTCTTATCCTCGGGGACGGTGCGCAGTGTCTGTTTAGCTTGAGCCAAAAATGTATCAACGTCCTGGATAAGGGGAGATTCCGACTTGATATCTTTTGATTTCTCCTTCAGGCGGTTCATGTCCATGTCTGCAGAATCAAAGAAGCTTGGATCCATCAAAAGTCGTTGTAGAGAATCTCCAACATCTACCATCAGGTTCTCAAACTCCGGGTCTTTGCCCGCGTGCTCCATTACGCGATGGAACTTTTCTCCAAGAACCTCCCATTGCTGTCGATCCCCGAAAGAGCTTATCACATTCCAGAAGCTTTGTGTGGCATTGCGGAGCTCTGAGTTGACGTCCACTTCATCTTGAGCAATATCGATGGTGGTGTCTACTGCCCGAGAATATACCTTCCCATAATGTTGTATGAGGTACGTGACCGTCGATGTTGCCGTAGAGTAATCATCCCGTTTTCGAAGACTTGCGACAACAGCTTTTAATCTTTCAAACAAGGAATTCTTCTGCTCCCCTGACAAATTTTCTTCTGCGCTCTTGACGGCATCCTGGCCTGCACGAGCCACCCCGTCTTGTGTCGCCTCTGAAATCTCCTCTAACTCTTGGCGGACGTGTTCACCCGTCGGTGGACCTTCCTGATTGCCGTCAGGCTTTTTGGTGGCGTCTATCTCTTCTTCTGAGGGTTCTATCTTTTTACCCGCGTCCTCGGCGGCTGTTGAGACAGAAAATGCAGTGTCTGCAAATACTTGACGTCCGATGGTGGCTATGTCATCAATGAACATGCGAAAATCTGCGTTGGTTAAAAGAAGGTTGGTAATAGTACGGAAACTATCGTAGGCTAGAGAAAAGGTCAGTCTCAATTGGCCAATGGATAGAAGGAGACGATCTCGGAATATTTGCGTAGCTCTTGGGAAGGAATTTCTCGACGAGTCAATGGCCTTCATGGAGCCGTACCATCAGTGGCATCAGTCCTTGTCCTCACCTGGGATACCTGGTCCCTCAAGTCAGACACATTGACAGAGGCCCTCGACCGGGAGAGCTGCCATATGAACTCCTGTATCTGGTCTTCGGAGTTCTTTTCGCGGAGAAGGTCGATCAGGACCCTGATCCAAAGTTTGCTGTTCCGGACCAACAGACGACCGGCGTCGCTTAGTTCAGGGCTAGTGGGATTGAGGGGTTCTGAAGCTAGTAGGGTTCGAAGGTTGGCGATAAGCTGCTGTGTGGAGGGCATAAAGCCGTCCGATAAGGCCCGTGCCATGTGGATTGTGCGCATCTTCTGGTGCAGCCTGCGCTGAAGTGCGGTTTCGTCCTCGTCTGCATCATGGCTATGGAGAAGAGGTTGGGTCTCTCCGGTCTGTTGTTGATTCTGTTTCCGTGATTGACAGCAGGAGAGCATTGTACCTGATGCCCTTGAGGGGAAGGATTCTCCAGTTCTTGAGAGATGAAGCTACGATACTTTGCCAATTGGTATAGGCGCAAATAGCAAGGAACTAAGTTGAATCTAAAGAGCAACGCGGAGTTCTTTCTATGTGTTTGTTGATGCCTTTCAATGTTGTTGATGTTGATGTTGATGTCGTCGTTCGACAATGACGATATTCATCATCATCGCCTTGACGTGCCAAGACGCGTGTCACGTGCGACAAGCTCTGTTCCCCTCACGTTGCTTTTTCTGTTCCTTTTTCTGCTTTTCTGGGGAAGACGACGACGACATCGAACATCATCTTCGAAGATACCAACAGCGGCGATGCTTGAGAGGCGTCTGGAACTCCCTTTCAGTTATTTCAAAGGATAGATGAACCGAGGCATTCCCTCCTCCACAATGCCCGATATCAGATGAAGAGACGAGCACTTCCCCAGACAAAGCACATGGGACCAACTTCCAACTCCTCGCTCTCGCTGTCCGAGACCGGATAAATGCAACCACCAACTCTCTTTCTCTTCCCTCCCCGTTCAACTCCCGACATGTTCGTTTTCGTCTCGTTTTCGTATTCTCGTGTCCAGCTCTTTCTTGTTGCGGGGAAACCCGAAAAAGCCACCCGATGTCTTCCGACCGGTGGAAGCTACTTACCCAATCGGGTAGTTTGTCATTATATTACTTTGTTCAGCCACGGGGTGAGGCTTTTATTTCATTTGAAGGAAGGGGAGGCCTGAGGGTGTGCGTGGGATGATTGTGGCTTTGGATCTGTATTAATTTTATTATATCTCTCGCGAACGGGGAAGATGATGGGGTTGCACAGTTCAAGTCTCAGGGCTGAGGGAAAGATGAAACTCTTCACGAGATCTCGGCCGGAGTCAGCTTCTGGAACATCGCCAGAAAAAGTACGGATTCCGAGGAAGGGACAGGGGTGGAAGCTCTCCCCTTCCCAGTGCTTTTCCCCATGGCCATCTTTCCTGCATCTCAACCGCAGGATACATAGCATCATCCTGGCGCTGAACTTTCGTTCCTTACTCATCCTTTCTCCAACATCTCGGTCCGGAGCACGAAAAAGGAAAGAAACGAACATGGTTCACCGTTCCGGCCTGGCCACGAGATTAGTAATTAGGTGGTCGGAGACTAAATTTCTGCTGGGGGGAGCACTCGGGATGCCTTGACGATGATGCAGCCTGACATGGATCGAGAACCCAGAACCCGAAAAAAAGAAACGAAAGGAGGAAAAAGAAAATAAACGACAAAAAAAAAGTTGACCTGTTGAACAACTTTGAAAGCACCGGTCCGGCGATGGAGGGACGCTGAAAACGGTTGGGATAGCTTCAATTGAGCTCGAGGTGAGTCGCAAAGCTTACTGCTCTTGAGTCATAGTCTCATCTTTCGTAGCATATATATATCCAAGAGTTTTATGCCGTGCTTCGTTGTATCAAGGGAGATTATTGTAGCAGTTCCATTTTCTCCGCATCCCAACAGCTTTCCCACTCACGAGTCATTTCCTTTGCCTATCCAAATCTCCACTTTTTCAGCTGTTCCAGAAGAGCTTCCAAACTGAAGATTTGTGATCATTGTCCTCCTCTCTTCTTGCTCCAGGCGCATTCGGGGGTCAGATACAGTCAGAAGAGTGAGTTGAAGACCCGTGCATCGTCAACGATCACATTCAACCCGTTGCACGAGAAGTAGAAATCAACCGCCATCAACTCCGAATCCCCCCCAACTTGAATTGAGTTTCACAAGCTGGACCAGAAGTTAATGGGAAATAATCACGCAGGCAAAGGGAAATTCACCTTTTTTCTCTCATCTTTTTGAACCCGAGATCGCCCGAGTAAGCCAAATTCATTCACCTCGAGTCGAGCCACTTTTGCAACCCCAAAGAAACTTTTCTCTCTTTCTCCAGAAGCGAACCACTCCAAATCCCTTCTTTCTCTCTCTTTTTACCCTGAGACAGCGAACGTATCGGTTCCGGGGAACACACACACTCATAATAATCACATAATTTCAGGGGTTGTGGTTGCTTTGGGGGTCTTTTTTCGTGGTTACCTTCCCTTGCCTTCGTCTCTTCTGGATCCCCCATAATAGAAGATTGAGATGTTCGGTCGTTTAAATAGAATAACTTCCGCTTCTTCGACTGCCAACGCTTTACATTCTCCAATCTCACTTCAATCTGCAGTGACTCAACTCTCCCCAATACCTTCAACGTCTGCTACACTACCTTCGTCACATCGTCCAGCAAACATGGTTCTCCTCAATGGCGCTCAGCGCAAGGTCGTTCACTCGTCGGCTCCGTCAAATTCCCCTGCTCCAAGGTTCGTTGTCGCTGGCTGGTTTTGTGCGCGCATTTTTTGGTGAGAGGTTGCTAACCAGGTTGAACACTTTTAGAGAAGGACACTATGACACTGCAAACCCACCTTACATTCGCAAATACCTTCGCACCTACGGCTTGACTCCCCCCCGCGTCGAGAGCTACGAG